GGAGTGATTTTGTTGGTTTGTGTGCTACAGAGATGCCATGTGGTTGTAATAGTCTGTTGGTGGTTTCTGAGACGTGCTAAGATAAGCAAAGGTTACCACCAGGCACACGATCAAGCAGTAAACATATGCTAATCAAGGAACCACCAGAGGAGCAAAACAAAACCCCCACCAGCACCAGCACTGGCAAGGCAGGCCACAGCACATAGAGAGCAAACCCCATGCTAATCAAGGAACCACCAGAGGAGCAAAACAAAACCCCCACCAGCACCAGCACTGGCAAGGCAGGCCACAGCACATAGAGAGCAAACCCCATCCCATTTTAGCACTGAAGATATTACCTAGCTGGGTAATGAAACATTTGCAAGAAAAGAACCAAGCTCAGAGAACCCCAAGGACTCCACACTGGAAGAACTGCAAGGAAGGGCTTTAAGGCACAGGCTGACCAACTGACCCAGGGTCCATCACTAAAACAAAACATGGCCGTGTGAACTGTCCATATTCAGGCTTGATCCCGTCCTTGTGTTTTGCCATTCTCCCAAATAGTACAACGATATCAGGGCAGAGAGCCCCAGAAATTACCTTGGAGAAACTGCAGCAAGAGTTACAAAAACCTGTTTTACTCCCAGAAAACAAAACTTTAGAAAGAACCTCGAGCTCCCTAGGGCATAAGAGGAAAGCAGTTGGGCTTTCAAGAATCAGTTCCGAAAGCCTCTCTCAACAGAGTTCCAGTGGTAGAATCTGTTTCCTGGCCTGACCCACCTCAAACGGCTGACAGTTCACAAGGATGCAATTCCTCTCCCCCAGAGCAGTGGGTCCTAACTCTTTGTCATCAAACTTCCCTTTCATATAACCTTGATGTACACACCTCCCCTAAAAATCCAAACACCAACATGAATACAAATGAACAATGAAAACTACAATGAAACTTTGGGAAAGGTGGTTTTATTGTATCAATGTATCTAAAAGGTTCTTCACCCCTCCCCTGGACTCTGTCTGCTCCTCCCCAAGGGAGGCACACCTCACAGTTTGTGAAACCTTGCCCTAGAGTTCAAGGTGCACAGGTATTCCCCCACCATACGCCAATCTCTGGTTTCAATCCTGCTCCTTCATTCTGCTTTTCAAGATTGCTGGTGGAAGATAGAATCATAGGGTTGAGAGAGATCTTGAAGTTCCTCCCAGTCCAGCCCCCTGACCAGGGCAGGAATTCTATCATGCGGGGCAAATGACTATCCAGTGAGGAAGCACCCATGACTCCAAGAGCAGCTGTTCCACTGCTGAAGAGCTCTGAGGCAGGAAATTCCTCCTTATTTCCAGTTTGGATCTCCCTCTATAAAGTTTCCAGTCATTGGTCCTTGCTTACCCTCAGGTACTGTGGATCCATGCTCTCTGTCCTCTTTGTTGGAAAAAAATGAAACAGAATAGGAGTTGAGTAGCTCTGCTTATTGCTTCCCTGTTTTCTTTTTATCTTGAACTTATCTAAAGATGCCTTTTTCTGTTGTACTTAGAATCCTTCACCAATCTCAGCCCATTCTGAGCTTTGCTTTCTTGGCAGCTACTCTACCGTTCCAGGCTGCTTTGTGCCCCTCTCTTTGGCAAACTGTCCCTCTGTCCACCTCTTAGATGGTTTCCCCTTGCTTTGATGTGTTTTTTCAAATGGGCTTTTTCAGAAAATCACCCCTTCCTCTTCTCCCTTGAGTCCCTTTTCCCAGCAGCTTCTTTGCAACTAAATATTCCTTATCATTAATCTTGTTCATTAAAATATGTTTTTAAAGTCCAAGGTACACAAACACTTAAAAAGCACCAGCATTATGTAATGACTTTTCCCCAACATCCCCACACTTCCTCTTCCTTGACTAAGTCCTCCCAATTGGTTAATATCAGATACAGGCAATCTTCTTGAGCCTCTTTTACTTCTGAGGATCAAAGTTGTCAGCAAAACAAATCAATACACAAGCCCAACATACCTCTCCAATCAGTTGTATCTTTACCAGGGACTCCAACATACAACATAGCGAAAAAACTGACAAAAATGCTCGGACATCTCACAGACAGGAGCTAATATTCTATCAACTCCTCACTACAGCGCCACCAGAAAATGAAAGATGTACACAAAGATGAAGATGAAATTATGTCTCATTTGATGTCACAGCACTCTTTACATCCATAAACTCAGAACTGGCGAAAGAATCCATGTCAGCCACACTACACAATGCACCCAACCTAACCAAATACACCAAGATCGAAATACCCAGAATCACGGACCTCATCAACTGCTGCCTGCACTACCTATTGATGGACAAATATACTAACAAATCAGAGGCACACCCATGGAATCACCACTCTCAGGACTCATAGCAGAGATTGTAATGCAACACCTAGAAGCTATAGTGCTTCCACACATACAACCAAAAGTATGGATCCAGTATGTAGATGACACCTTTGTTATAGTAAAAAAGGAATAACTAGAGAAGATGCATGAAACAATCAACCACATCTTCAAAGGAATAAAATTCACCAGAGAGGAAGTAAACAACAATACGCTACCCTTCCTGGATATCCTCATCAGCAGAGGAAACAACTGCAAATTAGAACTCAAGTCTATTGGAAAACAACCCACACCAACCAAGTACTCCATTACCAAAGTAACCCAACCTCCCACAAGAGGAGCTGCATAAGAACATTATTCAAACGAGTGCAAATGCCCTGCAGCAACCCAGAACAGCAGAAAAAGGAAAGAGACATCTATACAACATTTTCCAACAAAATGGATATCCATGCAACTTTATCAAAAAGTGCCTGATCACTCAACTTTCTACAACACAACGTACACAAGCTATGAAAAGGGTAACACTGCCATACATCGGAAGCATCTCAGAAACAACCAACAGACTATTACAACCACATGGCATCTCTGTAGCACACAAACCA